TTTTTTTTTTTTTGGGGGGGGTCTCTTTTTTTGTGTTTGAGTTTGTTTTTATCGGTTAAGCCAATTCCACAATCAAAACTCATAACCTAACATATGCCCATATTCAACAACAGGTTTTAACACAAGAATATTTGAATAAGTAAAACGAAATTCATTTCCTCTTTCATAATGAAAGTTTTAACACCTGAATGTAACGCATGAACACTCCAATAAGTAACCCCCCCCCCCTCTCTCTCTCTCTCTCTCTCTCTCTCTCCCTCTCTCTCTCTCTCTCTCTCTCTTTCTCTCTCTCTCTCTCTCCCTCTCTATTTATGAAATATGAACACAAACAAACACAATATTAAATATAGAAAATAACTCCCCCACACTAAAAAAAAAATCACTTATTAGAAGGATCAAATTTCACAAGCAGAGAATCCAAATCTCAACACCAGATCTTAGCCCATGATCCTGACACATGAATATTCACAAATACTCTCCCATTCCCTTTCCATCGCAGATACTGCTTGCTCTCGGCGGCTGGAACGACTCACGAAGTACCAAATACTCGCAGTTGGTATCGGATCCCAACAAGCGTAGCAAGTTCGTGAGTGAGGTGGTGAAGCTGGTACTCGAATATGGCTTTGACGGACTCGACCTCGACTGGGAGTACCCGGGGTATGAGTGGAACCCCAACGATAAGCAAGGTGAGTTGGTATTGGTCGGTTGGTAAGTAGGTATCGATTGGTTGGTAAGTGGGTATTGATTTATTGGTGAGTGGGTATCGTTTAGGTTGGTAAGTGGGTATTGATTAGTTGGTAAGTGGGTATCGATTAGTTGGTAAGTGGGTATCGATTAGTTGGTAAGTGGGTATCGATTAGTTGGTAAGTGGGTATCGATTAGTTGGTAAGTGGGTATCGATTGGTTGGTAAGTGGGTATCGATTGGTTGGTAAGTGGTTATCGATCGGTTGGTAAGTGGGTATCGATTGGTTGGTAAGTGGTTATCGATCGGTTGTTAAGTGGGTATCGATTTATTGGTGAGTGGGTATCGATTGGTTGGTAAGTGGATCTCGACTGGTTGGTAGGTGGTTATCGATCGGTTGGGTATTGGTTTATTTATTTATTTATTGGTGAGTGGGTATCGTCTGGATGGTAAGTGGGTATTGAGCGGTTGGTAATTGAGTATCGAATGCTCAGTAAAGCCGCGGTCACACTCCTCCTTGGTACAGAGGGGCCCCAAGATATAGGGTGATTTTGCCCCGCTACAGCTCTCCGTCGAGTCTGATCCCCCCCCCCCCCCTAACTCGTGACGGGGAAAGAACCACCTTGTCGGTCTTTGCCCCTCGGTATTCGTTGACCGCCGCTAATTAAACAAAACTATTCTCTCTCTCTCTCTCTCTCTCTCTCTCTCTCTCTCTCTCTCTCTCTCTCTCTCTCTCTCTCTCTCTCTCTCTCTCTCTCTCTCTCTCTCTCTCTCTCTCTCTCTCTCTCTCTCTCTCTCTCTCTCTCTCTCTCTCTCTCTCTCTCTCTCTCTCTCTCTCTCTCTCTCTCTCTCTCTCTCTCTCTCTCTCTCTCTCTCTCTCTCTCTCTCTCTCTCTCTCTCTCTCTCTCTCTCTCTCTCTCTCTCTCTCTCTCTCTCTCTCTCTCTCTCTCTCTCTCTCTCTCTCTCTCTCTCTCTCTCTCTCTCTCTCTCTCTCTCTCTCTCTCTCTCTCTCTCTCTCTCTCTCTCTCTCTCTCTCTCTCTCTCTCTCTCTCTCTCTCTCTCTCTCTCTCTCTCTCTCTCTCTCTCTCTCTCTCTCTCTCTCTCTCTCTCTCTCTCTCTCTCTCTCTCTCTCTCTCTCTCTCTCTCTCTCTCTCTCTCTCTCTCTCTCTCTCTCTCTCTCTCTCTCTCTCTCTCTCTCTCTCTCTCTCTCTCTCTCTCTCTCTCTCTCTCTCTCTCTCTCTCTCTCTCTCTCTCTCTCTCTCTCTCTCTCTCTCTCTCTCTCTCTCTCTCTCTCTCTCTCTCTCTCTCTCTCTCTCTCTCTCTCTCTCTCTCTCTCTCTCTCTCTCTCTCTCTCTCTCTCTCTCTCTCTCTCTCTCTCTCTCTCTCTCTCTCTCTCTCTCTCTCTCTCTCTCTCTCTCTCTCTCTCTCTCTCTCTCTCTCTCTCTCTCTCTCTCTCTCTCTCTCTCTCTCTCTCTCTCTCTCTCTCTCTCTCTCTCTCTCTCTCTCTCTCTCTCTCTCTCTCTCTCTCTCTCTCTCTCTCTCTCTCTCTCTCTCTCTCTCTCTCTCTCTCTCTCTCTCTCTCTCTCTCTCTCTCTCTCTCTCTCTCTCTCTCTCTCTCTCTCTCTCTCTCTCTCTCTCTCTCTCTCTCTCTCTCTCTCTCTCTCTCTCTCTCTCTCTCTCTCTCTCTCTCTCTCTCTCTCTCTCTCTCTCTCTCTCTCTCTCTCTCTCTCTCTCTCTCTCTCTCTCTCTCTCTCTCTCTCTCTCTCTCTCTCTCTCTCTCTCTCTCTCTCTCTCTCTCTCTCTCTCTCTCTCTCTCTCTCTCTCTCTCTCTCTCTCTCTCTCTCTCTCTCTCTCTCTCTCTCTCTCTCTCTCTCTCTCTCTCTCTCTCTCTCTCTCTCTCTCTCTCTCTCTCTCTCTCTCTCTCTCTCTCTCTCTCTCTCTCTCTCTCTCTCTCTCTCTCTCTCTCTCTCTCTCTCTCTCTCTCTCTCTCTCTCTCTCTCTCTCTCTCTCTCTCTCTCTCTCTCTCTCTCTCTCTCTCTCTCTCTCTCTCTCTCTCTCTCTCTCTCTCTCTCTCTCTCTCTCTCTCTCTCTCTCTCTCTCTCTCTCTCTCTCTCTCTCTCTCTCTCTCTCTCTCTCTCTCTCTCTCTCTCTCTCTCTCTCTCTCTCTCTCTCTCTCTCAATAATTGCCTATCACTTCATTATTTACTAAAATGGTGATTTGATATACAGTTACACATGTTTTCTCTAATTTATAGTATTTCGCATCAAGGTCTGAATACTTAACATAGTATTTAGTTTCTAATTTCAACATGTATAGAACTCAGTCAACAAACGAACGGAAACATTTCACTATCGACCCAAAGTAGTTTATTCTCTCATTGACAATATATAGGAATGAGGAATTATGGAAAACAATGAAGAATTGTGGAATACAAGCCACAGCAATTACAAGAGCAGGATGTTGAAAAGGACGAAGATGGCTGATATTAGCAGACTTCTACAACAGGTATGTCGAATTTACGCACATTTCGTCTTTCCTGTCATACTACTGTCTAAGCCACGTACGTGTTGGTTGTTTCCTTTATTCTTCGTTCTTCTAAGGGCAGTAAAGCAATGCGTCAAGGAAAAAAGAACGGATGTATACCCAGTTAGTGTTTGATAGAGAGAGAGAGGGAGAGAGAGAGAGAGAGAGAGAGAGAGTGAGAGAGTGAGAGAGGGAGAGAGGGAGAGAGGGAGAGAGTGAGAGAGTGAGAGAGAGTGAGAGAGAGAGAGAGAGAGAGAGAGCAGGAGACGTCGCGCGGGGTAGCGTGAACAACCTTTCGGTATCATGGGACTAGAACGTGGATAGGGGACCAGCTGATATGAAGGAGCAATGTGACCGCGTCTAAAGTGGGTATCGATGGGTCGGTAAGTGGGTATCGATCGCTCGTAGAAGGTCGTAAAGAACGCTGATTTCAGAAATAAGTGTTTGCTGGCTTTGGTCTCGTAGTAATAAAAGTCCGGTTATAAAATTAGTTACAGTAGGCTCTTTACGTTATTAATAATGAACATTTTAGAGAAAGAAAGAAAGAAAAGGAGAGAGACAAAGACAGAGAAGAGACAGAAACATTCAGACAGAAAGAAAAACTCACAACACCCTCCTTCACGGTATCCTACAGGATTCACTTCATGGCTGGTTGACCTGCGAAAAGCCTTCGACCCCCACGGCCTACTCCTGACGGCAGCCGTGAGCGCAGGGAAGAGCACCATCGACCGAGGCTACGACATCCCCAGAGTGGCCAAGCTCCTGGACATGGTGAGGCCGAAGTGACGGAAAATGATCGGTTGTTCTGAGTACTGAGGTTGCATGTTGAGTATATGGCATGATTGTTAGAGGTGCGTAATGGGCCTGTGATAAAGTTAGAGCATTATGTAAGAGATGTTTTAGTTAGAATTATAGATTTGTTTCCGATTTTTGCACCGACTTTCATCACTCAGTTTGCTGGATATCCGAACTGAAGAGTATAAGTGCGCATTACGTTCTTACTGATATTATCTTTTTTATTTTATATGATTTATTCATTCAGTTTATCAGTTTATCTTCCTTGCTTGATATTCACCTTCCAATATGTCTATTTCTATCTCTATCTATCTATTTATCTCCCTGTCGATCTATCTATTTCTCTATTTATATAACTATGTATCTGTCTATTTGTCTTCCTATCCATCTATCTATCTAGCTCTCTCTATTTGTCTATTTAACTATATATCTGTCTATCTCTGTCTGTCTATATATTTAACTATCTCTCTATCTGTCTATATATTTATCTGTCTGTCTATCCATCTATCTATCTATCTAGTTATATATCAGTGTACCTACCTATCTCTCTAACTATTTATCTATCTACCTATCAACCCATCTGTCTATCTATCTCTGAATCCATTTATTTGATTTTTTTTTACCCAGATCAACCTAATGTCCTATGACTTCCACGGGTCTTGGGAGAACCGAGTGGCTCACCACGCCCCCCTATACGCAGACCCGGATCAGAACCCTGAACTGTGCGTGGACTTTGCCGTCAATTATTGGATCAAGAAGGGCGCGCCTCCTCACAAGGTAGGGTAGCACAGGATATAAAGTTCAGTGGATTTTTTATGTTTTTTTATTAATCATTTTCAAGTCAAATATAATGCTTCTGTCTGTTTTGAATGGGAGAGATCGTTTTGTTTTCAAAGTTTTCATTCTAAGTTGTTGTTTTTTCTTGCTTTTATCCTCATCGCTTATATAATTCCATTCCAATGTAATAATTAAATTGATTAATTATCGACAGTTGATCATGGGTGTGCCAGCTTACGGAAGAACGTGGACGCTGGCGGGGTCTGACACGTCCTCAGGCGCGGCCGCGGCGGGAGCAGGGCGCGAGGGGCGGCACGTCAGGGAGAGAGGGAGTCTGCCCTTCTTCGAGTGCTGTCTGGCGGAGCAGGTACTCAGAACTGGCGGTGATGGCAAGCGTTTTTGTCATGTATTTTGAGAACTGGCATAGAGATTGCGGATGCTTTTTGTCAAATCTTTTGAGAACTGGCAAAGAGATGGCGGACACGTTTTGCTATGTCTTTTGAGAATTGGCGAAGAGATGGCAGGCACTTTTTACCACGTATTTTGAGAACTGGCAAAGAGATGGCGGACACGTTTTGCCGTGTCTTGAGACCTGGTAAAGAGATAGCAGGCGCTTTATGCCATTTGCCTGGTTCCTTTTGCTGGTAAAGTGTATGCAGTTATGTTTGTGTGTTAGTGTGTATATCGGCCTGCAGTTTCAATCCCCAATGCTTAACCAATAACCCCAAATCTTAATTTTTATAAATAAATAGATAGACAAAGAAAATAGATAGGATTTCAGACTACGTGTTGAGGGAACCGAGCCATGTACCTGACTGGAACTTAAGATAACCCACAGTGTCTCATATCTCATATCCCTTCTATTCGGAAGTAACCTTTTCTAGGCTACCGAGACCTCAATAAGGCCAGGCCTCTGATAATCAGTGTATTATTTAGTATAATATAAAAAGTTAAACGCCACTAGCCTGTCTTCATAGGAGAATGATAGTATGATAATCCCCTTTGATAATAGAAATGAATAGCGTTTCAGTGATGTTTAACTGTAGGGACACGAAAGTTACAACAGCTAGAATATTTAACAACTGTGGACGAAATTGTGAATGTGTTTGTTTGTTTTGGTTTGTTTCTGTTTATTCATTTGTTTGTGTGTGTTTGTTTGTTTCTGTTTATTTGTCTGTGTGTGTGTGTGTTTGTTTCTGTTTATTTGTCTCTGTGTGTGTATGTTTGTTTCTGTTTATTTGTCTGTGTGTGTGTATGTTTGTTTCTGTTTATTTGTTTGAATGTGTTTGTTTACTTGCGTGTGTGCTTGATTTGTTTGTTTCCTTCTATACATTTGTTTGTGTTTATGTGTACTTGTTTATTTGTTTGTCTGTTCGTACGTGTGTACAGTACATGTCCACACATATCCACAGATACCGTTTCCTTTGGCAATCCCCATATGAAAGTACACTCTGACACTTGTACCCAATTATCATGTCTCTTTTCTTCACAAACGTCTAATCAAATGCCCTATGACCTGCAGGAAGGCTGGACGAAGAGGAGGACCCAAGCAGGACCTTACCTGACGAAGGGAAACCAGTGGGTGGGTTATGACGACGTTCAATCGGTGGTTCAGAAGGTGAGTTGCTCTATAACCTGTTTTGTGTGAGCTTGTATTGTGTGACGTCTATGTAGCAATGGTTAGAAAACATAGCGATAGTATTGATAGTAATGATAAGAGTGGTAGTCTTGATAATAAGGATAATAAGGATAATACTTTTAATACTAATAATGCTTCTGTTGATGATGATGGTGATGATAATGATAAAAACAATAATGATAACAATAACGAGGATGATAGTGGTAGCAATGATGTCCCCTTCTTAAGGCATAAGATATTTATTTAAAAAAACGCCAGTGCCCTATCAACAGCTGTTAATCTATCGGAATTTGTAAAATCAGTTTTCAGGAGTCTTTTTTGTTTGTCTAAATTCAATAAATTTCAGTTGTTTCTCCGCATTTTCTTATCTATCAATTTTCTTATTTCATTCAACTTTGATATAACATTTAGTATTTTTGAACACTATCAAGATTTATTTACCTTGTGTGAAAGACCCGCAGGTCACTCTACTCGGAAGGGTCTGGGAATAACAGAAACTGGCACCATATTCCTTGCTCCATTACCGCAAATCATGCGAATGCGAGGATAGAGCCTAGACTTCGGATTAAGATATCTGTAACTTATTTATTAACCATAACAACGTCTGCACTTCCGTTTAATTTTGTAAATCTATAACTTGTATTACAATTTTGTATTTTATTTTTACATCATGATATACAGGTAATACTGGCATCAATCCAAGCCGAAATCATGGCTCTAGCGGTGCATTCGCACAGTTTTCGGTAATCAACCAAACGATATTCATTCGCAAGTGCATTTATGAAGGTGACAACATTACTCGTAAATGTTTCTTTTCTTCCATTCGGCCTCATTTTGAGTATTGTTCTACTGTGTGGTTATCTGCTGCAGAGTCGCACTTAAGAGTGTTCGAGCGTTCTCTTAAATCCACTAGTTTTTTCCTGTCTGACTTGAATTTGGACGTTGGGCATCGTAGGGGTATTTGTTTTTTATATGATTTTCAGTGACATTTAATGTAAGTCGATCGTCTACATCTCAGTTTTCTATTTTTTTTTATCGCTAATATGTTTTTACCACGTAAATAGTAGACTTTCTATCTTCTCTTTATTTCTTAGGTGTGTTTTGACCTGCACTGACATCTTTGGTGATTTAATTGTTGAGCTTTTATTAGTTGCGGCTCTTTATATGGCTAATCAAAAATAACAATAATAATAATCGTAATAATAATAATAATAATAATAATAATAATGATAATAATAATAATAATAATAATAATAATAATAATGGTGGTAACCCTGCTCCCATCCCGCAGGCTCAGTACGCGACGGACATGGGCCTCGGCGGCGTCATGATGTGGGACATCACCACAGACGACTTCGGGGATGTCTGTGGTGAAGGCAAGAACCCCCTCCTGACGGCCATGGTCAGGACACTCCATGGCGACCCTCCCTCCGTCGGATCCGTCTCTCAACATAAGGGAAGACCTTCGTCAGGAGCCAAGCCTTCGCCATCTTCGTTTAGGGATCCTCGGCAAGGAGGGGTGTCCTTCGGTAGTCAGGGAAGTGGGAGTCCTGTCGCAGCGCCTACGGGAGGAAGTACGGCCCTCGAAGGAAGTGTTATAAGCACAACTCCGGGCATTGTTGGAGACGGCGAGACTGTTACGCAAGTTGCTTCTTCAGGACCTACGACCGAATTGCCCTATCCTTGGCTCGCATGGTAAGGGCCTTTGCATAGTTGTATAATCATAAAGACTTCTTGTGTAATAGACCTATTGTCAAGTCAGCGTCTCATTTGTCAAATTCGCTTACTCTTCTCACTCTCTTCCCCAGGCCAGTCTTCAGCAGGTCACCGCAAGACATACAAAACTTCAATTCCATCTCGACCACAAAGTCACCCTTCCACTCTTCCAGAACTCCCTCTCCGCCTACCTCTCGAGCTCCTGCTTCTCCAGCCTTCACTTCCTTTACCTCCTCTCCCTCCTTTTCTTCAGCTCCTGGTTTCTCTCCTTCCCTCTCTTTATCCCCCTCGATCACTTGGTTCACAAACTGTCGTGACGAGGGCTTTGCGCCTGATCCGGCCTCCTGCTCCTCCTTTTACAGATGTACGGAAGAATTTGCCTATAAGTAAGTAATAATGCTATCATGAATATTTGCCACAGTCTCGTGGTCGCAAGTTTCCATAGTTGCCTTTTGATATTGTCGAAATGATGTTCTTCCATGATGAACACAAATGCTAATGTAGTGAAGTGTGTAGGAGAATGCAGTGACATACAGCCGCAAAACACAGTAACCGAGTCCGATATAACCCGAAGCCTCATTATTCAGTGTTTCCCTTACTTTATATCCCTCCAACCAAGATCAATTACTCTAGTTGCATTGCAAGTATTCAAAGATGCAAAGTTCACTCTGACATCGCTGTACAGGATCTCTCACACATGCTGTCTCCCTCAGGTTCTCGTGTCCCGGAGGTCTTTTGTGGAACCATGACCAGTCCTCGTGTGACTGGCCCAGGTCGGTCCAGTGTGTGTTGCCCTTGACCCAGCCTGACCTGCGACCTTTCCTGCCGCCTGAAATTATATAGAGGCGGAACAACTTAGTATTAAGCTTGAATGTACCTGCACGCGCCCTCCCGGTGGTATTCTGACGACACTACGAGATAACGAAGCTAGCATGCATTTGCGAAAGTCATTTGATACTTATGCATTACAGTATTTGCTGATTGTATGTATGCCTTTTCCATTGTAGGTTAACAGATATATGATATTTCATTCGTTACATTACACTTAGACGCTTACCTTGGCCATATATTGTAAAGTGATAAAGCTTAACTTGCACATTTACCAACGATACGATGGGTCAGTGACTCGTACCCTTTTAGCACAGCGCTTCCACAAGGGTCATCCCCAACACTCCTTAACTTCGCAGTGATATGCACAATCAAAATCATTTGTTCGCTATGCTGAAATCTTTATGGCAAAACAAAGTAGTGCTGAGCTAACAAAAAGAAGAATTTGATTGTGTATAAGTAGAGAAAATTATCCAAAAATTAAAAGAAAGGAAGAAAATAAATAATTCATTTCCTGTGTGACTTTTATTTTTTTTTCTGCTGACTTTATAGAGTGTTTAGGATGATTAGTGAAGTGAAACCTCTAAGGAAATCCAAAACAGAATGAGGTGGAAACCTAATGGTGCATCGTATGTTTTTTTTTTAATACATATTTTGATAGCAAACACATATACATAGCTGTGATCGAAGATATATAACAATAAAGAAGATAACGATTAGTTTTTTACATCAAGTTACAATGTAAGGAAATTAGACAGACGAACACGGTCATTGCGGAATAAAGAGGAAAATTAAACATTAATGATGACACTCATTCAGCGTAAGAAATTTTTGTACATTTGAAAGTGAAATCAAAAATCAAAAAGGCAAAACCGAAATCAAAATGCTTTTTGATAGTTACACGAACCACATAATTAGTATATACAATGAGGAGTTGATTTAGTCTTTAATATCGATAGAATATACATGTAACATTTCATGGCATGAGAATCAAGGTTACATAGGCACTCGTATGTTGTTTGCTAAAGTCAGATCTTT